TGGGCATTTTGGCTTCGTCTCATAATATAAGAGCGTTTCTTATATTATGGGACGGAGGGAGTAGAAAACATGGAGGTGGTAATTGGTAAGCATAACAAATGCTCTTCCTAAGCTAGTGATAGAACACAGTAATTAGGAAAATTGATTCTCTCTCATAAGCAGCATTAAAAATGTCAAACACGGAATAGATCATAAACTACACACAAGGACATCAACTCTTTCTGATAGATATCAAAGCAACAAACCAGTTCCTTCCATACAATTCTCAAATTCTAGTAACCAGGCTAAGGTAGCACTTGCATACAAACATACAAGTTTAATGACAGATAATACGCTACCATAAAAAACTAAACATTTCATGATTAAACAAGCAGATAAATCACCAAACCACCTGATTAGGCTGCTCATATGAACGAACCATTCCAGGACTGACTTATTAAAAGGTCGTAGGCTATCGAGAAGCAACAGTTCAACTGCTGACTGGATAAATCACCAAACCACCTGATATGTTGCCTTCCACGCTTCAACCATCAAGGCAGACCTAGCCGACGGTTGCCTGGACGAGAGAAAACAACCTGCATGCAGTATATATATATCAGCCAGTCAGACATCACAATTAACCTGGAGTAATACCTCCTTTCCATAAAAAGGCAAAGGTTCAGACATAATTTTGGCCAAACTTTCAAAACTTTGAACATGTTTTGATTTGATATGTGAAAATCACCTTCTTTTAGGTCTTCCAAAAGAAAACACTTTTACCATTTAGCAATTTCATTAAGTTCTATGATTTACGGCAGTGAAAACTAAGGCCGGTATATTAGGGAGACTGCTGATTTCCGAAATGTCATCCTTTTAAGACTGGAGGGAGTATATGACTTCTATTTGTCTGGTAATAACGTAGATACACATGCGTACCTGGTAATCTCCAACCGCACGTGACTTGAAACCAGCGGCAGAGTATATGAGGTAGAACTCCCATATACGAATGAACTTCTCATCAAAGCCCAGTTTCAAAACTTGACTGCAAGGAAAAAAGGTGATAAAAAAATACTAACTGAGCAACCAATGTTACAAACTTACAATATATGTATATAATCGTCATAGCAGTATTTTTTTTTCCAGTGAATGACAAGTGATACTTACTCTTTGTTGGCCATGAAGTTGTCCCTCCAGTGCATCAGAGTTGTGTAGTAATTGGGACCGATATTCTCGACATGCTCTATGCTGCACCCAGTGCACAACAAGATTAGGTAGGGTTTAATGGATGGAGATCCATCCATGACCATGAAGTAACCAATCAAGCATCAATCGATTGATGTAAAACGTACCTGAACCTTGATGATGTGGTCATGGCAGACATTACACGGGCCAAAGAAGGAAGGCAACCGCCAGGGAATATGTATTCTTTGATGAAGTCTGGCCTTTTTCTGTATTGGTCATACCGTTCCTCCGCAATTGAGATGAACTGAACGCATATATATGTATTTGCAGGTAATGGTTAGTTCATGATTGTGTAAACCTAAGGTCTTGCTTGGATACGAGAAGGAGTATCTTTTATATGGGTTTTCTGACAATCCAAAAAAATAAGCGTCAAGTTATTTGGAAATATACTTCAGTTGTTGATGCACTAACCTGGAGGACCAGTATGCCATCTTCGGCCAAGTAAGACTCGCAGCAAGCGAAAAATTCGTCCATGTATTCATGCCCAACATGTTCGATCATACCACTGAATCACAGAAGAGGAATGCGTAAGTATAACCGTAATAAAGTAACAGTTACCAGGGGTATTGTCCAAGTCACAGCGCACACCCATAATAAAGTACTCCCTCCGTCCCATAATGTAGGACGTTTTTTGGCATTAGTGTAGTGTCAAAAAACGTCTTACATTATGGGACGGAGGGAGTAACACTTACCAGCTTATGATTGCATCATACTTGGAAGGTGGTATCTTACGGTAGTCGCATAGAAGAAAAGTTATGTGGTCCTATTAATCAATAACAATAGACAGTAGAATTGTTAGCTAGGATTTCACCCTGCCGAAGTAAGCTGGCAAAAAAAACAATACTAATTCTCCGTGTATGTATGTATTTGTTTTATAGATAGGAAATTATAATATATGCAAATCCAAGATATGCCACTGTAAAGTTCCACTGCTCAGATTGTGTAGCCATCCACATGATGGGTCACCACGGGCAGACGGCGATGAGGCGGTGAAGATGTTGTTCAGTCGTGTGGAGGGTTGGTTTTGAGGCTGTGACGGACCGAGTCAGTCTTCTTCAGGGTTGGACCAGGGTTACATATATACCCACACATTACACTTTCTCAATGAACACATATGGTGGAATCGTAATTACAGATAAACTATTAAACTGGACAGGTACTGCGTAAAGGAGGTAGTAGCATAGAACTAACCTCTAAGCCAGCTTCTCTTACTTTTCTCTCAGCGTATTTATGCTGCTCCGCTGACAAAGTGACTCCAGTGTATTTGCAGCCAGTTTGTTTAACTGCTTGTATTGCTAAACTTCCCCAGCCGCTACCGATATCAAGAACATGATGCCCCCTCTTGATTTTAGCCTTTGATTAAATGTGTATTTTGCAAGAATGAAATGCCATCAGATCATATTTACAACATTGCCTAACTAGGAATCAATCTAATAATACAATCTCTGGAGATATGGAAGTATTACCTTCTCTATTAGAAGGCTAAGTTTACGTTGCTGGGCTGCTTCTAAGCTTTCGTTCTCCATCTAGTAATTTAATAATAGTCAGTGAATTAATATACCAATGCAAAATTTACAAGCTGTGGAACAAAATCACAGGATTTACAAACCTTGAATACCGCACAAGAGTAAGTCATCGATTTATCCAGAAAAAGCGAGAAAAAATCGTTACTCTGCGCACATATACAAGAAGAAAGACAGGACTATTAGTACTGTTTGGTACTCCTCCGTCCCAAAATAAGTGTCGCTGATTTAGTACAAAATTTGTACTAAATCAGCGACACTTATTTTAGCTTTTGAGACCGAGGAAGTATGTTATTATAGACGTATTATGACAAGTAATGAATGATAACAAATATTTTTCATAAGATTATGAAGACAAAAATCTCAATCTCAACAAGATCTGCAATAATTCTGGTATTACGAACTGGCCTAAGAAGCTAGTTATCTTAATCCTGAAGGAATGTAATAACAAAAAAAGAGACATAAGTACTGACAAGATCATAGTGGCGAGAGATGTTTCGACGAGTTTGTGTCGCAGTGTTCTTCCGCGAGGCATGGCGCAAAAAGTATTTAGCATATGCCAACTGAGCTATTATATGGAAAGGTGACCACCAAAACCTGCAAACCAAACAATTTTATGTACATGATTAATCACAAACACATACTCGTAGGTACTACTTCGTTTTTATTAAACAATTCATCGGAATTTAGTGGACAATTGAAGGTTTTCAGAACCCTTTTCTGGCAATGCGGCGGTTCCTACGTTCATCTCTGTTAGCAATGAGAATCTGAAAAGAAATTGATCATGGATTTGACCTGTAATTAATAAAAAATAGCTCTACCCATAAGCTCATGGACTATGATATAGTTTTACCAGCATAAGATTCAGAAGGCCTTCTCTCTTGTCAAGAACAGAGAAACAACCATCAATATAGGCTTCTGCCAAGCCAATGCTTCCTTCTATTGCAACCTGAAAGCCATGAGAGAGCCAGGATAAACACATGTAGCTCAAATCAGAAGGTTGCACAAAGTGATTGCAGTGGAGTATATAAGAAATTAAGAATCATGCATGGACACATCACCAACCAGAAAAATTAAAATGCATGTGTAGGCAGAAAAAGAGAAGAGAAGATAACCTTCCAATAGAACAAGGGGTCGTGAACTCGGATGACAGATTTTACAGGGCATTTTTCGCAAGCTTTACCAAAGGTGAACACACTACCTCCTTCTTCGACCAATCTGCATGAAAACAATTAAGGTGAAAAATAATCATAACTAGACATGGTGAGTATATTGACTCATACGAGAACTCACATCAAGTTACCGATGGATATATATTGGTTGAAAAATCTTGCAACTAGAAGGCGCGCCGCAGCCTCGGTCCATGATGGAATCATCTTTTTTGGGTTCAGCAGAAGCTCACATTTCTTTCCAAGCAAACCTTGAGCTGCTGCTTTCCCAGACTGCATCAATCAATATGTCCAATACAAATAGACCTCACATAACTATTTCATGAAATAGTCACTCTGAATTATATACGTTTGAAACTAAAAGCATATATGTCAGGGTTGTGTAAACAGCCCCCATATATTAATAAAGGAAAAACTTAGAACTCATAACTTGGGCCTTAAGCCAACCAGAGCTAAGCAACTAAGCAAGGATATGGTTAGTTATAGCTATGACAGGATTAGTTATGTTTATCTTTGCGAGATAGGTCTAAAAGGGAAAATGGTCAGATTGTGCATGCAAATACCTTTAATCCGTCTTCATGGAAACCATGACCTGCAATCCAACGCACATTTAAGACCTAGTGCTCTTCAGATAATTTCACACCTAACTTTAATGTAGTATTGGTCTGTCTTGCATCTCAGTAAACTGAAATTCATATGACAAGTTACCTTGATATGCCCCACAGAACCATATTCCTCTCTTTCCCTGGATCTGATCAAGGTCCAGATAAGCCTTCGCCGCAGCCACAG